ATTTGAAAAAGATGTTGGGTTTTTAGGATATGATATGGGTTATATTATTTTTCTACACTAATTTCACATAGGTACTGCTACTCTGTGTTTGTGAAAAAATAGACATTTGAAAAAAGTATGTATCGACCCAATTTTTTTTGTTTTTTTCCAAAATCAAAATCTAGGAAAATAAGTTTTTCTTAATAAGTAGGTATCCCCCAAACTTTTCTTACTTTATTAAGCTTGAAGCTCCTCTAGTTTTATCACTCTTTTTTACTTTGTTCTTATTTTTCTTGAGGTTGTTTGAGATATTTCTAATTGTTGCTTAATTTTGTTAGTTGATCAGTGTATCATACCCATCTATGTATTTTTACCTTTAACAACTAGGAACCTTGAGGCGGTGGGATTTGAATTGCACCCGGCGGTAAGTCAGGTAAAGCCGGCACTGTTGGTACCCCATGGTTATTAAGTTCACTGGCTATTCAAATTCGTTTATTGTTAATTGAGCTGTTTAAAGTGTTGTTAGTGAGCGTAGACAAGTTAGAAAAATGGAATGTACGCTACTTTCAAGTGAGAAAGAAAAATCGCTGTTACTGATTAACGGGTACCAATGTTGCTTCCAAAAAGACTTGAAAGGTGGGGGATATGTACATGCAACAAATCATTTTGCAAAGTTTTTGTGAAAACAACTGGGGAAAACCTCATAATCGAATCAACGTTGGAACATAATCATGAAAAACAACCAAATCGTCTCTTAACTCGCCAAATTTTGTCTCAATCCGTCAAGAGAGCAGCTGGGGATAACCCTACGGAGAAACCCATCAAGCTGATACGTCAAGAATTACATAAATCCGATTACCAGAGCAAGTAAAAATGCTTATCACGCCAGAACATCGATTTTGTGTAAACTTCCCAGAAACGTCCAAGAGTTTCAAGAAGTGATAGAAGCCAACGAGGTAAAAACAAACCAAAATGAACATTTTCTTTTGCTAAACGACAAAGTTAATCATATTGTTATGTTTTCAACGAACACTAACATAAAATTTCTAACTGGTGTTCTAGATTGGTATATTGATGGAACCTTTCAATATTATCCAAAATTTTTTGTACAACTTTTCACAATTCATGGCATAAAGAATGGCCATTATATCCCATTAATATTTGGCTTATTGCCTAATAAGCCACAAAGCACCCACAAATTAGTTTTTGAATTTTTAAAAAATAATTTTCAAATTCCACATTTCTATCCACAAAACGTTACTGTAGATTTTGAATATGCTATTAATTCATTCTGCTATTAAGCAGGTATTTCCCCTCTCTAACATAAAAAGATGTAGATTTCATTTATGCCAGGCATGGTATAGGAAAATACAACAGCTTGGTTTGTCATCCGAATATAGAAAGCAAAATGAAGCGACAGAAATAGGTAACTAAATATTTGACATATATTTTTGGGTTACCATTTTTATCCCCGCAGGATGTAGGGGATTGTTTTGGTATTGATTTTGCCTCAGTTTTGCCACAAAATGAGCTAGTTATTAAGTTTTCAGATTATTTAGTAGATAATTACATTGATGGAAATTCCACGTTTCCACCCCAAGTGTGAAACAGTTCCTTGACCTTTATAAGGGTATTACCATGAAATGATTCATCAGATAAGATTAGATTAGAAATCTAAACTTCAAGTTAGTGATCGTCGCTACCTTTTGAGTAGAAAAATGGCATGAATAGTAATTCAGAAGTCGACCAGAGCTGTAGGTTTCATGTACCAATTAGTCAACATTGTACCAGTTTCGGTCCTATGCACTATAAGATCATCAAGGAACGGGATACTGCCATTACTTTCAGACTTCAGTGTAAATTGTAATTTCTCATGAAAGTTGTTAAAATAATTTAGGACATTATTGAATTCAGTTCTTGGGATGGCAGCTAATGTATCATCCACATATAATTTCAGAAAAGGAACATCAAATGGTATTTTATATAAAGTGCTTTCAATAAGGTCGTTCATAACGAAGTTTGCAATAACAGGGCTAGACGGGTTACCCATAGCAGTACCTTCAACTTGTACATGAAACTGTTTATTATATAGAAAAAAACTAGAATCGAAACAATAATTCAACATTGTCAAAAACAGCTGTTTAGGAATATCAGTGTATGCCTGAGTAACCGACCATTTCCTCAAGACGATATCGATCACCAATCTATTTGGTATGTTAGTAAAAAAGGAAACTACATCCAAGGATACCAATATGTAATCAGGAGGCAACAAAACTTTCTTCGAGAAATCTACAAATTCATAAGAATTTTTCAAATTATAATTGAAAGTTGTAGATAGTAAGGATAAAATATTATGCAATAAACAAGCTATCTTATACGAGGGCGAATTTACACAACTAACAACAGCAACCGGTGTTTATGCGTTTTCCTCAGACCATAATCGCGAGGTGGAACATAAGCATCGATTATGACAAGAATTGCAAAAATATTTCTTCTGAAACAGTAAAAATAAAGGAAGGGGATATTATTGGAACTCTCGAACTAGTTAACCAAATATCGAAATCGATTATCGAATTGTGACCTATCCGATAAGCGACATTCTGTAAAACCGAAATTGGATACAGACACCTTGATGCAAACTTTGGAGAAATCATGGCAACACCTCGATCCAGATAGACTTCAAGAAGCCAAATATTTCATCTTGAAAGGGATTATCTGCTTATTATCGAAGATTTGTAGGATTCACTAATATAGCTGCTCCGCTTCATCGATTAATGGAAGAAAAATCAACATTTAATTGGATCCAAGATTGCGATTCCGTTTTCAAAAAATTTAAAAAAGCATTATGTGCTGTACTTTCACAAATTCAAAATTTACAGGAGCGTGTCGTAGAGTAATAGCAGAACCTTATCAAAGCCAGAATAAAATTCCATGTCCCTAGAAGAGAGTTGCTTGCCATAGCAAAAAACAATTGTAGAAATACGATTTCTAAATGAAACATCGACCTAGAAACCTGCATCTGACGCTCTGTCTAGCAAAGAAGAATGCAAGCCTTGTCAAAAAATCGATATGCATGAGAAAGACACTGGTCCAACTGTGAGAAGAACGGGTCTTATCATTGATGATAAATGGACTACCAAACAAATGAGAGCAGATCAAGAGGCAGACCAGCATTGGGCAAATTCTACATCTTAAAGAAAATGATGAATGTAGGCTAGAATGGAGGGAAGTTTCGAACGAGAGTTGGATTTACAAGACGTTATGAGCTCAGTGGAAGTCTCTGGCCGTAGAATATGGTTTATTGAGAAGAGTTTGGGAAAGTATCGATGGGAAATCTACTAAGAACCAACTAGTTACTCTAAAAGATCGAATAGAAGATGTATTAAAGTAAATAAATAACGGAACTTCAAGGATACATTTTGGAGTTAACAAGACTTTGAACAAAATTCGGGATCGTTTTTACTGGATCCACTATCATGAAGACGTTAAAAACTGATGTCGCAAATGCGCCATCTGTGCTACCAGTAAAGGCCCTAAACTGAGATCTCCGGGGACCATGAAACAGTACAACGTTAGTTTCCTATTTGAAAGAATAGCGATAGATGTTGCCGGACCGTTCCCTGAGTCAGAGCGTGGTGACAAATACATCTTGGTTATCATGAATTATTTCAGTAAATGGCCAGAAGTTTTCGCTATCATGGGCATTCGTAAGACAAGGACAACACCTTAACATCCACAGTCTGATGGCATGGTAGAGCGATTTAATAAGACCATAGAGGAAAACCTGATAAAAGTGGTCGCAAAGAACCAGCGAGATTGGAATAAACATTTGACTCGATTTTTAATGGCTTACAGAGCTGTTCACGAGTTAACAGGTGAAAGTCCAGCTAGAATCGTTTTTAGAAGCGAACTCAGGTTACCTTTTGATCTGATGTTTGAAATACCTGCATAAGAATGAAAAGAAGTTCGGGATTATGCCGAAGAAGTTAGGGCACGACTTCTGGGGATACATGATTCAGCTCGGGAGCATATTCAGCTGGCCAGTGACCGAATGAAGACCACATACCACTTGAAAGCCAATTGAGCCGGAATTCAAGAAGGTGATTTAGTGTGGCTGTATAATCCAATCTAACAAGAAAGAAAGGAGTGTAGCCGAAATTGTCTTCAACATGGGAAGGACCCTACAAAATAATCCAGAGGATCAATGATTTGGTTTTTCGAGTTCAGCGTAACACCAGGAGTAAGATGAAAGTTGTACATCTAGGCAGATTGAATATCATTATTAAGAGAAGGGAAGTGTGACGGATACGTTGCGCCTCCGCCAAGCGGAAAAAAGACTATTGCAATATTCTTGATTTTACCGGAATGGATTACGGATTTATAAAGGCCGGGATTAGTTAGTAGATAGTTGTTTAAATTTAAGATTGGCTGTTATACGATTTAGATAGGATTTAAATAAAATGCTTTGGCGGGGCCAACTTGACGCTCAGTCCTTCATTTTTTAGATATACAACCGTGCGCTTAGTAACTCACCCTGTATATTGTCGCACAAGGTGGCGCTTTCGCCAGGATGTACAGAATTGGACGGCTGATCCTAGATTTTAGAGTGCTATTCGGGAAAAAGGGTTATCGCGTTTATTCTGGATTTTACACGAATAGATTACGGATATATAAAGGCCGGTATTAGTTAGTAGTTTTTAGTTTAAGGTTAACTGTGGTATGTTTTAGATAGTGCTAATTGTAGAAGTTGTAAAAAGTTAATTAGTGAATTAATTAGTGCCAGAGTGTGTAGTAACGTGGAATAAATTATTGTTGTGCTAATTGGACTTTGATTTTGGAATAAACGAACCCAAGATTTCTGTCACGCACCCCAGAGCCGTGACAATATAAAAAATATAGAAAAGATGAATAGACGGGGCTAACTCGACCTATTTAAATTCATATTAAAGAAGGTTTATTTTATCGAGACTTCGATTATCGTCCTATATTGGAAAAAAAATGAGAGAACAAATAAAATTTACCTGTATTAGGAGCACCATGAAAAATGAATAAAACCGCTTTGCGCTCGATTTCCTCTTGCGTTGTCTCGTTACACGGCTCAAGTATTTCAAATCTATCAGTTGAATCGTCCATTTCATGAATGGATGAAGTTTCACCACTTGAAAATCCATCAGCAGCTATATAATCTATATTTAAAAAAAGCAAGAAAAAAAGGCTCTGCTAATTTTAATGTCAACAAATACCAACTTTCTCACCTAAAAGCATCCTATTCAATTCATTGGGTGGAAATTTGATCAACGGATCTCCAACTTCGATATGACTAAAACATGCATAATTTTTTCAAATAATATATATCACTCAATATAAACAAATTATTCAACCTTTTAGAATTTCTTAGATCAGTGTCACTTGCTTCAACAGTTTCACTTGCTTCAACAATTTCCTTTTCACAAATTTTTTTTCTCAAATTATCAACCAAACCATCATATGTAGTCTGAAAACAATTTGGCAGTCCGTTTCCTGCAGATCTCAATGGTGCGAAAACAAATTTCAAGTTTTTATGTTTCAAATATATCTCTGTCAGGTTTCTCTCCTGTTGACTAGCACTTTAAATAAATTTCATATAAATAAGATGATATATATTTTATTTTTGAGATAGATACGACGTAAACATATTGCCACTAAGTGTTCAATCATGTGATCAGGAAGAGCATCCATGAGCATCCTATTTTTTATTGGTGAAAGCAAGTCGACGAATTGTTTTCACAGAGTGTATTTAGGATTATGATATGCTCAAGCGTTGTCATTCAAATTCAAAATTTCCGAATAAGTACAATATTTCTTCACATGAGATGACTTGAGACCTGTATGTGCATTAGTTTGTTTGTATTAAATATTGGTAGGTAATTATGTTGCAACTTTTGTGGAGGAAACCTTTCTTTCCAAAATAAAAGAGGTTGTGTTACCTATTCGTCAAATTTTAATTTATGTCCAAATAATTTGTAGTATTGGTACCTATTGGCTTGCTAGTCTAGTTACTCCAAGTGGATTTATTTTAGTCATGTCTATCTTGAAAGCAAATAGAGATTAATCCGTATTTTGAACTTACTCATCTAACGTAGGAAAATAAAACTCTATCGGTATCTCCGAAACATTTTGAACAGTAAAAGTTAGAGTATTCTTGAAATAATTCAACGTTGGGCTGAAGTTGCTTTCGGATGTTTCCACTTTCAAATTAGATTCCAGCCCTTGTCCAATGAGTTCCATCAAAATTGGATCAAGACTGCCATTGATTTCTATATGCAAGGTTCTTTCGATTTTCTTGGTATCAACGGGAACGAAATATATATTCAAATAAGTTTTAGCTCCTGGCTCCAATGTACCCGTTTCCGGAAGTACAATAAACCTGGCCAGGTCTTCTTTTTTTCTGGGTGTTTTTATACTGGCCTGCCATTTACTCTCAATGTGACCGCTAAAAGAACAACATTGTGTTGGGTTTGATAGAAGCTTGTATCTTCTCATGCCTGTTTTACATCTGTGCATCTTTCCGTGTATTTCTTCATGTAGGTAGTTCAGGATGCCAAAATTATTTTGTTTTTCATAATGCTGATTTATGTTGCGTTTGAAATTTTTCGGTTGTCATCCTGTAGTTCAGTCATCCAAGGTTCAGAAACGACGTTTTCAGGAAATTTTTTTATCACTGGTTTTGTATGTTTTTTGGGGTGCTGAATTCGAATCTGAGGTTTATCAATACGCCAGGCGTTGGCTTCCCAACGAAAATAGCGAAAAACCCTAAATTTTCGGCACTTATTTCAGGTTTTTAACTATAACTCGAAAGCTAAGCATTTTTTAATTATAACTATGATATACCAAATTTAAGTATAAAAAATTTCCTACAAGTAGGTATAATTACTCTAAAGTCTCGACAATCCACAACATCGTTGAATCGTGTTGAAAAAATCGCATTTCTTGACTTTCCTCAAAAAATAATGAAAACGGCGGCTGGGGAAGTGATTCCTCTACTGTTATTCATTAATTCTATAGCAACTATTAAAACATAATTGAAATACCAGAATATTGAGTTTTGTATTTAGCCTGTCAACCGGTCGAAAATGTTGATATTCCTGGTAAATATGTAGTATTTGAAATCAATTATTTTTATGATTACCTGTTATGTCCACGTTAATTTTAGGAATTGTTACAGATGAGTGAGTTCCATATAGTCAACGTCCTGTTAATAATAAAACGAGTTTTAATATTCCGCTTAAAATGTATCGCGAGTGAATCCACAGAACATACCACCTCTAGAAAAATATCTCAAATGGGAGACTCGTGACGAAAGTTTTTAGTTAGGTTTTCAGTCAACGATGGCGACAATGTCGGGAGATAAAAGAAATTTGCAGGTATCTGTGGACAGTGATTTGTGTTGGTTGGGTTTGTCCTCAGGTTTTGTCATTTTTTCTGTCATATTGAAATTCAAAATTCGAATTTTTGAATTATGTTGTTGTGCCCCACGCGCGTTTAAGTGAAAATTTAAAAAGTTCTGGTTGAAAAAAACCCTAATTTTTGTCCGAATTTTTTTGTATTTATTCGTTTGTATCGTTTCGTTCGTATTTGTATTTATTATTTAACGATCTGCCTATAGCTGCGTTTGTCTTGCTAACTCTTTAAACTCTTTTTGCACTATGTTTTACATTGGAAACTTCTCGCCAGACACAGTTTTCAAGAAAATGAGGTGAAACGAGCTGAAAGAAGTCCGCAGCAGGCCAAATTGCTAAATGAACATTAAAACTTATCTGAAAATATATCAAAAAATCGATTCGCCGACGGTGTTTTTATATTTTTCGTTCCCCCAAAAATATTCCGGGTCATGGCAATTCATTGACCGTTCTTTTTTTTCTAAGAAATATATTTATTTCTTCAAAACCTGTTACGGGATGATTTTTCCTGGGTTAAAATGAAAAGGAAATAAACATATTCGCCTCAATGAATAGCATACCTTCGTCAAGCCACTGTTGTCTTTTCAATAGTTGTGGCCAAACTTTTCATCAAACTTTTAATTTTTCCCAGAATCATTAAGTTAGAGGTTTATTAATGGAATTGATTTTCTGTTAGTAGGGTTAAAATAAATAGACAATTAATTTATTAATAAAACAAAATCACAACATTTACACTAGAACAGCTGATGTCTGATCGGAGTAGATTGTCTAGATTGACAGCGCTCCAAATAGGGTCCATGACCGGTACTAACTTAATTTAAATAAGTACCATGCCCCAACTACCATCAAAATCCCCAGTACCTTCCACCGTGGAGTTTTGACAGACACTTTTTAAGGGACATTGCAGGGACATTCAGAGGTCATTCAGGTCGAGGACTTTCCACGATTAAGTGTTCGGGAAAATTCCTTAGGCACATTTTGCCGATTTTCTGAGTTGTCTAGTTTTCGCTCATAGATCCAGGGTGGCTAATCCGTTATTTTAGCACCCAATCGCCTTGTGCAGCTTTTTTTTTGTGAGTCGAAAAAGCAACGTGGTCAATTGTTTGTTCCCAAAGGCCAAAAGTAATTTTGGTAAGTGGTTTTTCTTATTAATCTTCTCTGTGTTTCTCTATCTCCTATGTAAAAGTATAGTTTTCTGTTAATTATACGGTTAAATTCCGAATATCGGACATACCTACCTCTATTGCTCCACGCCCTGTCTCATAACGTCCATTTGTTTCAGGCCTTTAATCTTCAGTCTTAGACATTACGTTTTAATCGTCACCTTTTGTTCGTCACGCTTAGTCCTTAACTTGAGTAAAGAGTTAAGCGTTGAGCTTACTGTGTGGTTCAAGTAGTACCTTCAATCGTCAGCCTCCTCTAGACCATTGGAAGCTTTAGTGATTCCCAATTACTGAACTTCAGTGCCCAGGGCCAGTTGCTTCTTGTTGCGGCCTTGATCCAGACCCAGGCCATCGGAAACATTGGAAGATATTAGTTCCATCCGTCAGATTCCTCCAAGAGTTTAGGGACTACTCAGGTTTGATAAGTGTGTTGTATTGTCTTAATATCAAACCTTACCAACCCCTTGTTGGAGTAAATCATCACAACAACGCAGTTCTACTATCTTACAATTATCCTTCAGATTAGATGTTATTATTTCAGTTTTAATCAATTATATATCTTACCTTTACTATATGAAATTTACCATTCAGGTTGGGTATTGGTAGGTACTTAAATTTTATTGGGTATCTAGGTATTTATCCTACCTATATTGTTACATAATATTAAAGCCCTTCAGGTCACGTATTGTTACAACTTTGATTAATGCTGCACTGAATACAGGTAAATACTTGTACACTGGGGTTAAATGGCCATTTACGAAGGTACTGCATTTAGTTATGTTTATTGATTATGTAATGTATTTATGGCCAGTTTTATCACAGTCTAATTTGAGTTAACTGATAGATTCTTATTATTAAAAGTCATTGACCAACATTTATTATTATTTTTCAAAGGTCATTAAATAAATAATTCAGATTTTGGTGCTTATCAGCTGTTCGCTGCCATTTACCATAAACAATTATAAATAACTAGTTTGGGCAAATAAAAATCATGCACCGGAGTGAATTTTAAAGCGCTTTCATTTCATTTTATTTTTTTGCATATTTAGGTTTTTGCAGTACTTCCAATTAGGATTGAGTGTTTCCTGTTTTTAGTTCATAATCGGTAGCTTCGTTTGACTGTAGGGTATAGTAAAACAGGTGGCGCCTTTTTGATGTTTTCCCACTCCACTCTCCGCTGTGTGAGTTAGTCGGACACCCTAAAAACGAAGCTCCAGTTGCTCGATTTTGGTTATTGGAGTACCTCAGCCACCTTTTTGTGTATTAATTTATTGTTAGGGTTGCCCCTAGTTGGGAAACTGTAACAAATTGGCGCCCAATAAGTGGTATTTTTTTTGTTTGTTTATTATTTAATTTTTTTTTTGGAATTTTGCGACATCTATTATTGATTTAATTTTCACCTTCGCCATTCTAGCAGGATTCGGGTAATTTCTTTTTCTTTCTCTTTCTTCCTTACTATATGTAAATATATTTTTTTTTCTTTTTCTTTTCACAACCCCTCGGTCGATTTTTTTTTTTTTTTTTTTTTTATTGTTTTTTTTTGCTTTGCTACAGGTCGGGTTTCTTTTGTTTTTTTGTGTATTTTGTTAAAAGTACCTACCTATACTTTTGATTGGATCTACGAATTTCCTCTTGGCGTTTCGTTATTTGTTTATTTTTTTTTTCTTTTTCGCGTCAAGATGGAAATAAATCTGTTGGGTGCTGAGGAAGTCAAATATGAATTGGCTATTCGCGGGTTGCCTATTACTGGCACCTTTCCACAAAAACGAACTGCATTACGTGACGCTCTGCGCCGTGAGCGCGAGGGTCAGTCTTCGGCTCCAACAAGTTCTTGCTTCGACAGCGACAGCGAACTTTGCATTTGTCAAGGCAAACTTGCAGCTTTGGCGCGAGAAATCACAAACTTTGACCATGAGAACGCAGACAGCGAATTTCGGAGAATTTTCACCCTGTTGAGCCACACCGACGCTCGTCTCGACAGGCTTCTTTGTATTTCACACGAGGAGCGAGAGACAAGGCGAGAACTTGCTGAAGGGTGCGCTGAGCTATTCAATCGGCTTGAGTTGGCCCGAAGTGGCACAGCCATTGAATCGCAGTCACGAGCTGATGTTCACCAGGAACACCAAAGCCTTCTTGACACCAACAATCCCCGAATAAACCGTGTGTCTGAAGAGATTGCCACGTCGCATGATTTGATTTCCTTCGATGACGAAAATCCCAACGCTTCGGAACCTCTCCGACAAACTACATCTTCAAGACTGAACATTGCGCTCTCAGTCGAGCCTCCTTCCCAAGTCTTGTTAGACCCGTTGGTTGAATTTCCACCCCGCCGAATTATCCAGGCGCCTCGTTACACAAATTTCGATCAAACCTCCACAGCTGGAAATATTTCGAGACCACCTACCCGACTCACTCACAGTTCTTGTTTCCCAGCCACTGGTGCAAGCGAGCCTCGGTCTCGAGAAGTTGGAAATATTGGGCATTATGCTCCTGTCGAATCTAGGGTGCGCACCAACCGCAATTATTTGGGTCAGTATAGAGCATCTGCTGCGGACGATCAACCTGACGTACCGCTCTACTATCGACACTTTCTTAGTGATCAGCCTCCACCACAGTTGCGCTCCTCGTTTGTTAGGCAGCCGCCTCCTTCAGTTATTTCCAGAGCTGTTACCACTAATTCCCAACTTCCATCAGAACCGTTACCTACGTCAGAAAGGCAATCGCAGGTTCATTTTGAGGATGAGTACCCCGGTTTCTCCCGACAGGTACATCTCAATTCCACCCGTCCGACTGAAACTTTAAGTCATTCGAATCCCGAGGTCGATTTTGCCGAAAGGTTGGAAAACTTTCAATTTTCCCCTTCTCGTGGTAGAAACTTCAGTCAGTCGTCGGTAACTCCCTACTACCATAAGTCGCAGAA